CGCAACTCCCCCGGATACCCTTCGATTGCGGGGTGGCCCATCCTCTCTATACCCTTGGGGTACAACCACTCGGTGCCGTTCGGCGTGTCCTTTGTCACGCCCAAGTACCACGAAGAAAAGCTCCTGCAATATGGCTACGTGTTTGAACAAGCCACGAAAGCGCGTGTGGCACCCCAGTTTTTGCCCGACAATTAACAGTGGTGGGCGTCATCACATCGTGCGTTTCACTGTATTGTCCATGGCATCTTGTTGATATGGAAGGACAGTTAACGTTATTCCAAGAAGCGTGGAGATTGATTTTACACGCTTTTTGTAAATGAAAAATACAAGCCCCTTTTTAGAGTGTACAACTTCTTTCAAGAATCTACAACTTGTGGCAAGAATATACAACTGCAACCATAAAGTGCGGTACAGTACAGTACTTCAACTCTGTAAACTATGGTAACGTTACAGTAAGTATACAAGGATCAGTTTGATCAGTATGTCAACCGCATACCTACTGAGCTATCCTTGGGAACACGTGTTATGCTCGTATGCGAACACAAGTGCTTTAGGGGCACGCATTATATGTAAACAAGCACAAGAGATTTCGTGGTTCGGAGGTTACAAGGGTACGGGCAAAAGCGCACGAAGCTGGAAATGGTAAGGAGCATTATTGGAACGTACGCGACATGTGGATACGCTGAAGTTCTAGATTCTGGATTCCGTAACGTTGGTTGTAGATTCTTGAAATGCTGTTGTAAATTCATTGGACGGCTTCGCAAACTACAACGTAGTATAATTTTGCTCGCTTGAAATTAACTGGGCAAATTATGAATAGAAATTTCGCCCCACGCAAAGAATGGTTCACAGACAGATTTACATGGTGCTGCCAACGTCCGGAATTCCACTAGTGACCCCTCCTGGTCCCATGCCGTCGTACTCGCCAAGCGTATCAACAGCATGATTGAATCCCGCATTCTGTAGTGGATATGGAATCTGACAAAAAAGACGTCAACGAAGAAAGCGATATAGGCCCGCACTCAAGCCAACCGTCGACAGATGCCTGAGTTTTGAGCAACTGACTGATGCACGATAGTCAATTATGGAGGCCATGGTAGCCATGAGAGAAGAATGCGAACGTGTTCTTAGCGAGGAACGTATTCAACGACAAGAAGCTATGGACGCGGCTCGTGAGAAACGTCAGTCCAAGATGGATCAAGTTCTACTTGCGATTTTCGCAAAGCTCGTAGACAAGTAGTCCCACATGCTAATCCCAAAGTTGGAACAATGTAAATTGAATTTCACGACATTTCAGATTAAAACTCATTATTTGTATACTAACGTTAGTACAATCAAGTACATTTGGTTATTCGACTCGAAAGTATGTGCGCAACACTCTTAAAACTGATGTTTACTAGTATTAGGTATTGAAAGTATTCCAGGACTCCCAACTCAAAACGAAATCAGCGTCGCCGAAGCTGGGATGTCAAGAATGTGGCGGCTCAAGCCTCACCACACAGGTCGGGAGGCTATGAAGAAGTGAGGTTAGCATCCAGTAACCTTTATCATAGGGTGATGTACCGACATTGCCCGTGACAAAAGACTGTCCTGCTGTGCCAACCAACCGTGAAGGAAAGCTGCAAAGTGGCCCATAATCAAGACTAATGTACGTTGATACATCTGCGTCAAAATACATTCATCGTCATCCTATTTAGAATCATATTGATTGCGAACTGCAGCGCGGGGGAATCGACGGACTGACGCAGCCAATGAAATTATTGAATAAAAACCTTTCGACCAATCAAATTTCAGGTGTAGGCATCGCTTTGCCAAGTATACAGTATTAGTTCAAGTACAGTCATCCCCCGATTTTTGCAAACTTGTATAAAATAATATCCTGTGTAATACGATACAATATTGGATATAACAGGAAGTGAGTCAGTTGAATTCAAACGACAGCCAATCCGCGCCAATCCACGCTGGTTGATTGCAGACCCCACCTTCACAAATATCTGTGGTGTATGCCAAGCAATCGCCCACGCCTAACCTTGGGTCAAAAGGCCCAGATACGAGCGCATCACCTCGCGATCGACAACCAGCAATGATGTGGTCAACCCAGGGTGGGCGGATGTTACGACTGCGACAATTCAAAATTGTTGGAAGCATACCGGTATTATTCCCTCTGAGACGTTGATGTTTGCGTTTGACAAGTTGCGTATCGGCAATCCGATGTCAGTTGAATTAATTCTTAGCACTTAGATTGACTTCGTGTGTAAAGTTTGTTGTCATTATCTCCATTCCCTAGCCGTAGTAATTGATGTCCGATATTTGACCTCAATTATCAATAAGTGTCGGGTAAAAGCTTGCTTAATCGGATATCGGGTTCGTTGGTGGATTTTCGGACGCGTCGAACCTTTGATTTCGTATAACCTTGCATCGAGCACTCCTCTATCAAATGATACTGTACCACTGGTGCAAAAATCGGGGGATGACTCTAAAACGACGTTTCGACGACTTGAGGTACATAGATTTGTCCTTCGTGGAATCTACCCAACATACCAAATTTAGCTTGAAGGCACAATACACAAGGCGGTTATTTCTCTGAACGGGTATTTATGTAGCTACAACTTGGCATATATAGAGTCGTACCACCATATCCTTCGCACGCCCACCCAACATCTATTGAAGTCATAACACACGTAAATGTATTACGAACCTCTTTACTGTACTGTTCTGTATATGATAACCATGCTAAGTATCTGTAGAATGTAAGGTAGCTCTTATCGTCCATGCGACGTTGAAGGAGTGCAAAGTTAATAGTTGACCGATAGCCGATCGATTAGTCCAGATGACCATAGGACGACTTGCACGGAATACCACGCACCCATTCGGATTTCAATAATAGTGATGCATTGGGTGAAGGTTGTTTCTGAGCCACACGCGGTGATGATCCAAGAGACGGAATTGATGTGAGGAATGTTCGTGGGTATTGGCTGTCATATAGTCAGGCATGATCGAATTCCATTGCTCCAAAATCAGGACTGGGGCATGAAAGAGCGGGGGGAGGGTTGGAAACCCTGCGTCGTTAATGTTTAATCCTACGTACCGTTATTATATATTAATATTATTATGTTATTATTAAGATCACTATGTCCATCGACAAATTTAACATGCATGAATAAATGGAGGGAAAAAATATTACATATTAAAGGTTCTTCAATTTTGAACCGACGAAATGCCGCCAAGAACGCCATACACGCAGATCACCATGGACAAGGCCGTCCGCGATGTGTTAAGCAAAGTACACACGGCATCAACTGCTGCGGAGGCCTATGGCGTTCCATCGCGGACGCTTCGGAAGCATTTGGCAAAAGCTGCCCCCAGCGTCATCGAAATACCAACATCTTTAGGCCGAGCACCCATCTTACCGCGGCAGTAAGAAGAAGATATGGCTACTTGGATTGTCGGCATGGAGCGCGATGGGAAGCCTGTCGGCTATCGTGAAATCGTACAGAAAGTTTGCACAAACGTTTGCACAAACGAGCTACATTGCACAAACGAGTTACAATATGAGGTGTATATTATTCCACGTGTGTAATAATATTTCCAACTGAGACTCCAATACGTGATACCTGTTCAGACTTGGTAAACCTCGATTAATTTTTATTTCTCTGGATGTCAAAAAATTGACACCTGGATTCTTCATACTTAGTTCAAGTATAAAGTTGGCCCATTCATTAATGGTCGACTGTGTACGGTGCTCAAGTTCAAAAAAATCCTGTGTATTCCTAAACTGTTTAAGTCGATATCCTTCGAGTTATTCATAAAGTACTCATCATTACCTATCCGAAAATGCATCATTCCCACTCGGAAAACAAAAAACAACCGAAATAATTGAGATTGAAAACGAAGAAAGTTGGCCCATCATTATGCACCTGGTTGTAAAGCGGGAGGTTGAGGGTTCGAGTCCCAACTTTGACCTCTGTTTTTCCAACAACGACCAAGCCTAATAGCGAGCGACGACAGACCATTCGCCCACAAAATTGCACGCACCGCGGCGCAGCGGAGGTCGTGTGTATAATTTTGTGCGGTGCCTTGGCGAGGAGTGAGTCCCAATCGTGCAGTCACCGAATGTCCAATCGATTCCTCTCGTCGGGTAAAGTGGCAGGTAGGCCATGGCAACCCTTTCCACATCGGCGAAAATGTAGTCGAGCCGGTTTCGTCTGCGCGGGTCCGTAAGGACTTTCTTGTTGGGTTTTTTGGTGCGCCAAGCGTCGACAACACGGAGCGCTGACATCCATTCGCATCATTCATCTTTGCCGACGTGACGGTTTGGGTGGAATGCTGTCGTGTCCAAAGCAGCGTCCATGGGGAGGTTAAAATCGCCATCGACAAAGTGCCGACTGGTCGGATCGAAATAGCGTGGAAGGGATGCAAAATGCCCTGCACTATCGGCCGATTCAACTGGTGCAACTACGTTGTGGAAGTAGACGGGGGTGGAATCCCACTCCGTTCGAAAAACGAGGTATCGCTCGGGTACGCGCAGTGACCAGAGTAATTTGAGCGATGCGAACCTGGGCATAGATGAGAAGAAAAACGTGTCGACACCTTTGCTACGGTGGGGGTGAGGCCCATGCATGTTGGTTCGGTGGTCATTCTCGTAAAACTGGAACTCGCCATGTCCAATGTGGATGGAGATGTGGCGTCGAACGGTACGGAAGTGGTCGTCGTTTTAAAACTTGGTTTCTTGAAAGAAGATACAGGAGGCAAGGAGTTTGACAAGAGTAGATGCAGGGGAGTCGTCGTTGAAACTGAGGTTGCATGTGGAGACGCGCGAGGTACCTCCGAGGGTTGGTCTAGAAGCAAGCTTAGCCGATCGTGGGTGTCACTGTGTCCGTCCAGAGGTTTTCGAGGCTTCTGTGAGTAAGGGACATTGTGGAGGAGTCGAACATGGCCTGGCAAGATGGTGTAATCGTCAAGGCGAATGCCTGGTCAAGTGCAACCATAATGTCGATTTTGCTACCCCAATCAGCAAGAATCGAGGCGACAGCACTGTCTTCACTGCCGACCCAGTCCATGATGACGTCGTGGGATGCCCGATAGGCTAGTGCCGCGCGTGCTAAGGGATGGCAATCACAGAACCAGAGGTAGCAGCATTGAGCGCCACATCATGGGCATAGTAGCATGGAGCGAGAGATCCAAGCAGAATATCGGCAAGCGCGAGAATGGATCAGACTCGTGGCTCAACAGTACCGTAGCGTCACATCAACGTAATGTCGTGGCCCAGGGCGTGGATGGAGTATGCGTGATTGAAGACATTGTGATACAGAGTAGCAAAAGGTGTAGATGACCCCCACGTTATGCGCATCCATGATGCGAGATAACACAACCCGCTACGTGCAAGGAGGGCAATCACAGGTCCAGAGGTAGCAGCATTGAGCGCCACATCATGGGCATAATAGCATGGAGCGAGGAAGGCAAGCCGAATCTCGGCAAGCGCGAGAATTGACTCAGACTCGTGGCTGAACAGTACCGTAGCATCACACCAACGTAATGTCAGGGTGTGGATGGATTATGCATGATTGAAGACATTGTGATACAGGGTAGCAAAAGGTGTAGATGGCCCCCACGTTGTGCGCATCCATCGGCTGAGCATTCGGAGGCGGGTAAGGTGGAGTAGCATGGCCGGCGTCGACGACGCAAACGACATGCAGGCGCCGTTAGTCTAAGTGTCACAGGGTATTCATTAACCATTAACTAACTAACGTAATCTTGCCGAGTAGGCTCAACCCAGTCCTGATTGCCAAGTAGCAGTGCCACAGCAGCTGATCAGAGCGGAAGAAAGGGGGATGATGGAGGGCAGTGGACCCTCGACGAGCCTAGTGGACCTCAAACGTTGCCCTGGTTTCGAGGCATCGGGGGTATTTTGAGAAAAAGGTCCGGAAGTCCGGTTGGATCAAGAGGATTTTCTCGAGGGTGGACACGGCTGCCAGACTCCAAAGTACCTACCTATATGGCGTCGAATCGTGGTTGTCCACAAGAACAAGGAGAGCTCCACAAGTGCATGGGTTGGAGGCAAGCGCCGTTGTTGGTGTTGGACGAGGTTATGGTGCATACAAACGAGGTGGAGGGTGACACCGGTGAGCATGATCCAAACATCCAACAAGGATTCGTGGCGGTTGTGAACTCGTGCGTGGGTAGAAAACGAGTCGAGGTTGATGATATTTTGCCAGGTAAACTGGACATCTGCCCATCTCCACGCGCTGTTGAGAATATCCCACGCTGGCGATATAACTGGGCAGAAAAACAGCGCATGTTCTGCCGTTTCTACAGCACCGTAACACATCATCGATGTTGGGTCGATAGCTTGGCGATATGGAAAGCGTGAATTCACAGGAAGACAGGAAGCATTCGCAGGACTACACGGTGCCATACGTCGGAATGAGCTGGCGTCAGCAGGGAAAATGCACGACGGATTTTTCGCATGTAGCCACGAGCCAAGGAGTAGCTCGTTCGAGTGCGCGATTGAGTAGGGTACTCGCATGACGGGAATGGCCATGGAACGACATCCGTTTGATGCTCTCACGTGGCCAGAGTTCAAAGGGTTGCACGTTGTCGTTGATGGTGGATCGGAATGCATGCAGGGGGGATTGTACAGCCACACAGGGAACATCATGGCGAACATTCAAGCGGGTTCGGCTGTCATCGTACAGCCGAGTGAGCTGAGCATAGATTGCTTTGGCGTGGGGGACAAGGTCAAATTACAGCCGTTGCTGGTTTATCGAGACGGACATTTCGTTGTTGTTGGAGCACATGTGGCCGTGAAATGAGTTGAAGGGGGGCCAGAAGCCGCCATGCCCAATATGTAGTAGGTCTCCGAGGCTTCTAAATCCATTGGATGCTCCTTGTAGTGCCCACCGTCGGGTGATTGGCTGTTTGGTCGCGGTGGTGGCGACGTCATCGCCCGTTGGGCTCAAGAAGTGGGGATACGTGGTACACCACACAGGTTAGTTAACCTCATGGCTGGGCTATTCACATGTTTTACGTGCTAACTTACTATATTTCCAAATCTACGATACCGTATATTTCCTCATGTAAGTTAACGTTACGCTCGTAATTTCTACCAATCATATCTAACAATAAAAAAGTACTGCACAAGAATGAATATTATTACTCTGGCAACATCCCCATACAAAATTTGCTGTAACCCCTGTCGGATATTTCCGGGGTTCTCTGTATGGATAGAGTAATGTCAAAGGTGGGAGAATTGGCATACGGTGGGATAAAGGCATCTTTGACCACGAAGCCCACACGGCCTTCCATAGTGGGTGTAGCACCGACATGTCGTGCCATGCAGCCAAGTTATGTGGTCGCTGCTACAAAACGTCGAACGGATGTGATGCGCGGTACAACTGGCCGAGACACGAGGCAAATTGCTGTCGAACTAGCTGGACCCATTGTGGTTGCGGGGATCGGAGCATCAACTGTTGTAGTAGACGGAGTCGTTGGGCTGCAATAGAGGAGGATATGTGGGTATTGCGTCCCTGGATAGTGCGTGTGCGAAACATCCACGCAGCAAAGGAGTTGAGGAACGTGTCGTTGACATACTGGGCGTGGTATGAGGCAGGTAAATTGTGGCCAATAAAGGATCCAAGGAACTTGATGGCGACTGTGTCGGCGAAATGACAATCGACAGAGCACTAGGACGGCTGGCGGGCTCCTCATGGGCGTAGAGTGTGAGGGCAATGCACTACGACAGATTTAGGCTAGCCCCTGAACTGTGCAACGATAGTACTAACTTGGTAGTTGGCCGACTTGAGGGAATTTGACAGGATGGTCGTGTCATCGGCAAAAAACACCCCCGTCAGGGGTGGGCGGTCGTGCAGCGGGATGCCCAGGTGAGGTGCGGGATGTCGCCAGGGGGCTCAATTAGAGATCGAACAGGAGGCACGAGAGGAGGCAGACTTGCCTGGCGGTTGGGTTTGTTGGTGGGACCCAGAGAGCAGTTCAGGAGGAGGTTGGAGCGAGGTTTTTTGTAGACCAGGTGCACCCATGAGAGAAATGCAGGGCCGATGTTCAGTGTGCGCATGGCGTCAAACAAAAACGGCTGGTCTACACGATCGTACGCCTTGGTAAAATCCAAGAAGGTGCCATACCACTCAGCACCAAGCTGAGTAGCTTTGTGTTGGAGGGCATGAATGAGGTGGATGTGGTCGCTCATGCGGCGGCCCTTGACTTAACCCGCATGAGAAGGGTCGATGAGGGCGGGTGCCACACCGAGGAGACGAAAAGCCAGCGCCTGTGTGAGGATTTTAACTTCCACTGGTATTAAGGAAATTGGGCGGTAGTTCCTGGGGTCGGATCGAGCTCCCTCCTTGCAGAAAAGAGTAACAGCACTGGTATTAAGGAAATTGGGCGGTAGTTCCTGGGGTCGGATCGAGCTCCCTCCTTGCAGAAAAGAGTAACAGTACTGTAGCGCTGATGGTGGAGGAGAATGCCGTACGAGCGTTTCTGATTAAGGAAATGATGGCGGGACCTACTAAGAAGAAGACAGCCGACCAGGCGTCGGGACCTCGCCTTGTTGGTGTTCATGGTCTGCAGGGCAGCCTCAGAGTGGTATTCGTCCAGTGATGATTTCCGTACCACCGACGTAATGTCGTAGCCCAGGGCGTGGATGGAGTATGCTTGGTTGAAGACATTGTGATACAGGGTAGCAAATGTGTAGATGGCCCCACGTCGTTCGCATCTATCGGCTGAGCATTCGGAGGCAGGTAAGATCGAGCAGCATGGCCGGCGTTGACGACGCAAGTGAACGTACATGAAGACCTAATTCCATCGGGTATTTGGACAAAAGCGACTGGATACGGTCCGCTGCGCCAGTGGTAACAAGGTCAACGAGGTTGAAGACCGAGGTAGAGTGCCAGGTTGGGAACACATCGTCGTAAATGACGACTTCACAACAGCAACATGTGCATCGAGTAGGGCAAATTCCTCGAGCATTAAGTCCAGTGACACGGTCGCACGCGTGACACTCTGACCGTCGGGTTTGGAGCCATCAATGTAGTTGTTAGAAGGTATGGTGCGTGGAGAATCCGGCACAGGGAGGATGGAGGGAAGGATGAGCATGTTGTTAGTGAACAAATCCACCAATTTGAGTTGGTGTGACCACGATGTGTTCACGCAGTGCGTCGAACATATTCGGCAATTGCCATGGGCGTTGCAACGGTACAGATGCCCCAGAGCGGCTAACGGCGCCGTGACCCCGTGACACACGAGCCCATCGTGGTAGCGTTGGTGGTGGGCACATTGACGCTTGTTAACGCCGGTCGGGTGAGCTTGCAGGGGTGATGGGCTCAGAGGGAATGGCTGTGCGATAGCCTTTTTCTTAGCGGCAATATCCAGTTCAACGCGTTGGAAACCCTTGCGGTGGTTGTACCACCCTCGACCATAAATCCTATGGCATTTGTCGAGGAACACAATTTCGTCGAGCAATCGCGCGTTGCACACAAAAGGGAGAGGAGGATATTATCGTTAAATGATAAACGATAACGAGGGCTTTTGGTACCATAGGCGGCAGACCCTTGGGTGTAGGTGCCGGCAATTCAAGGCGCGGCGATCGCAGCTAGCACCTCCCAAAAGGAGCGCTCGGAGACGCGATGGTGAACAAAGTCGACAATTTCGAGATAGAATCCATCCATAACATGTGGACTGGACATGGTGAAGTTGACTTTGGTGCCGTCGCGGGAGACTGGAATCGCGAAGGATACGCCAACAAGGCGATCCATTGCT